AAAGAAAGACCAGGTATCTGAAATATCAAAGAAACCAGAGTCATTCTAGCAGCGGGCTTCACAGTTTAATCTAATTAGATGTACCGGAGGTGCTGACACTATAACAACTAACAAGATGACCGCAATCACTTCAGCCCTGGCAACCCTGAAATTCAAAGTCGTAATCACCATGTGCTTTCTTAGTTTGCACTAAAATAAGACGTATCCAACTGTAAGCTTAACAAATACTTCATCAGATGCCCGCAATTGCTGCTGGTCTAGGCCCCCTATGCTGTTGCTAGCATTAATGTTAAACGGCAGGGAAAAAGAGTGTGAATGTTGAAATCCCATAACAAGAATCTTGCCTCTTCTCCTTGCAAACTTTCATTTCTCACCCTAATAGCAAACAGAAATGCATCTAACCACCAAGGCCAATGGCTGAGATTTGGACCGATCAAGTAAAACAATAGCTTCAGCATCTGCTTAATTTGGACTTGCTTCAGCTGCCTCATCCAGTTCATCTGAATCCTTCATAGTTTCCTCATCCTTCCTGACACCTTTTGTAGCATTATCAATGTTGTTTAGATGCTTTGCTTGAATTCTAACACGCTGTCCTTTGATATATCGATACTCCCATTTTGGTGGTGGATATTTCTTGTTTAATTTGTCATACTTGTCCAGCATACCCAACTTTTGAAAGACATTTCCAACCATTTTAACTACTGAAACACCTGGTTTGACGCCAAGCTCCTCCATGTCAGCAAATATCTACAAGGGTAAAAGCTGTAAGTTAGAACACTTGTAAACCAAGACAAGTTAGCATCTTTAATAGATTTACAGGAGAGTATAGTGCACAAAGTCTTGCATAAAAATTATTTTATCACTAACAAGAAAATTAATGAATAGGAATAAGAAGCATTTGTAGCAGGATCTACCAGACAGACAAATATAGATTCAAATACATGTTTTGAAAAAAAAAAAAAAAAGAAAGAATTAACTAGAATTTAGTTCACATTACACAGAGAACATAAGATTTGGAAGTAACGATGATTAGGAAAGGGCAGAAAACTGGTCACTACTTCAATCAATACATGTAAAACAGGACCAAAATCACACTCTGCACTAATCCACAGTTGTATAGAGGAAGAGTATCAGATTTGAAACTACTGGACTAATAGAGTTCCAGGCTGTTCTGCACTGACAGCACCTAATCTTCAATAAGACTCCATCCGCAACAGCACTATGTTGTGCTCTCAAGGGAGTTTATGTTAACCTAGGACATTATAAGCTTAGATTCACAACTTGTTTGTGGGGGGAAAATCAATGAAAAAAGCTTCATTTACGATATTTGCAAATTGATGAAGT